CATCCATTATCCAAAACTAGGAAACAATATGATTTTCGGCCAGTTTTAATAAAACCCAATTCAGAAAGTCATTTTGATTAAACAGACATTAGATAGAAAAGTTTATGTGACTGTTGAGTATGAAAAAAGTATTTGGGATCACTGGTAGTGAATGACGTATCACCCTGTAACTTGCCTATTCGTCAATTTTTTTCCACTAGCCTACCATGATTTTTGAAATACCATTCACAAATGTCGAGTTACAAATCAAAAATCTGGCCAAAATTTCTTTTCTAGAAATTTTCCCAGAACAAGTTTTGTTCCACAAGTAGCTTATATTTCACCTTTTAACCAGAACCTGTCACTGAAAGGCAACACAAAGGAGGTAGCCTAGGTTTTTAATTATTTCAAGCAATCCAGAACTAGGTATACGTGGCTAGGTCAGCGCGAGTGCAAGATAGCTTGATTCATTGTGCAAAGATTGAATTACTACAGCAACCATTTTTATAATACATCAGAAATTAGGCTTGTCTATCCTGTCTATAGTACTACTACTACTAGGCTACGTGAAATTCCATCCCATCATTACGGCATAGGCCTACATGTAGGCCTGTAGTATTTCACAACGTGGCCTCAGTAGACGACAGGGCTGAGCGGACAGTGTCCTGACGGACGACTTGTCTCAACGGTCGAATTGTCTCAGCGGTCGAGTTGTCCGAAGTCGAGTTGGCGAACGCTCAGACGGTCGAGTTGTCCGGACCCCACTTTCCACATGCGTAAAAAAATACAGCAAATATTCATAAAACGTACCTGTTCTTCAACGGCATCGTTTCTTCTTCAAGGAATCTCCACTTTAATCGGTAGAAACTCAGCCTTCAATGGATAATTCCGCCCCAAATGTTATTTTTTTTCTAATCTTTTCTCCCGTTCGCTTAACGTCGAGTGTACACATGCACATAATTAATTATGCACAAATTGCAACGCACACTACATATACATGCAAGCTGCACTCATGATATAACGTATTCATAAACCACTTACTACGTCGGGACACAAGACCACTTTATATAGATTATAGCGCCCTCAGCGACAGGTATCAAAATTCATGTCAAACTTTTGGCGGGCTTCCGGCCGCCGAACATCTGTTCAGTCGGAAATGGTTAGGTTCGATCAGCGACTTTTGCCTGCAGTGATGCCTGGTATACATTTAATACACAGATTTCCAGTAAAAATGATCGGACTTGCCCGTTGAAACACTGCTGAATTTTCTCATGAAAAACAAAGATTCAGAAGCGATAACTATAGAAATCAGGGAGAGTCACCCCCCCCGGGGTGCCCGTTTACACTTGGGAGGGATTTACGATTTACTTTTCTTTCATCAGTGTGTGTGTGTATGGGGGGGGGTTAACTTTCCCCCTGGATATATATTTTCATTGTTTTGAAAAGGAAGTAACCCGCCAAGACTTCAATATGACTACATTTCTGTAGGTTGGTCATGCCCTCCCCCTCCCAAAATGGATACGGCACTCCTCTCATCATAAGTAAAATTAGTAAATGAATAAAATAAAAGAAATAATACAGAATTGTTCTCTCCTATCCCGACCGATGAGATTTTATCAACAGGTCAGGTAACCGGTATCGTTCATTAAAATCAGGATCCAATCGCACACTGCAGTTTTAATTTTTTCAACCCTCAGCAATCCTTATCCTTAATTAAGGATCTAGGTGCATGTGGCTCCATCTCTAGTCTGTACATGAAATGCATTCCCCACCTGTTTAGTCAAACCCTGAGTCATTTTATCACTTTTGTTGTTTACTTTTAATATTAAATTTTTATTTTATATTATATTAATATTCGTCTTTTTCTTGGCTGTCATGTGTCTTGCACATATCCCTTTTAATCATGAATTTTTAAGCTGTAAATCAATCAATCTCATTTTCAACTTGGCCAATCGAAGGGACGAGTACAACAACCATATCAATTATCTAGAGCTCCTGGCTTCTTTTCTGGCCTTGCTGACCTTTGCCAAAGACAAGACAGATTGTCACATAATGTTACGCATGGACAACACGACAGCCCTTGCTTACATAAAACACACAGGGGGTACTCACACAGAAAGTATGTCCTACACAGCTAGCAGTGAACATGTGGAAATGGTGCCTGACAAGGAACATCACTCTATAATTGCCTTTCATATCCCGCGGTGGACAATGTGGTGGCAGATCAACAGTCTCGAGTCTTTACGGACAGGTTAACGTGGAGGCTAGACCCCAATGGTGTCTGCCAGGTTGTGCACACAGACAAGTTTCCAACCCACAGTGGACCTATTTGCGTCCAGAATAAACTATTAACTTCCCTGTTACACTGCATGGAAACCCGATTCCAGAGCTCTGATGACAGATGCCTTCTCGTTGCCATGGACGAATTCGAACGAACTCGGCTATGCATTTCCGCCCTTTTGTCTATTGGCTCAAGTTCTAGGCCTACGGAAAGTGGAAATAGACCAGGCAACTTCAGTGGTAGTTGCTCCGACATGGACCGTGAACGTAGACCTGGTATCCAATGCTGCTGCAATTAGCCATAGCACGGCCAATCTTCCTGCCGCAAGGGAATCGTGTTGACACAACCCCAATCCGGCGAGCCACATCCATTGATATACTCCCTACATCTAGCGGCTTGGATTGTCTCAGGAGACAATATCAAACAAAAGGCTTTTCAAATGACCTAATACCCAAGTCATATTGGCCAGTTGTAGAGGGTCACCTCACATGCAGTATCAATCAGCCCGGAAGACATGGGATTGCTGGTGTCGTGAACAATCCCTTGATCCAGTTTTGGTACTTGTGAAAGATGAAATGGAATTCCTAGTGGAGAAAAGATCAGCAATTTCACGATACCGTGAACAAGTTAATGGAATTCTGATGGGGGTAATGTCCAATGATCATTATCATAAACCATCGACAGAATCGTCCATGGCTGACATCCTCCTTAAAGCAGCTTCAAAATCACAAGCTGATTCGAAACTGAAGGAGGCGCAGTATAACACCTGTAAAGCAGATGGGTTGGAGTTGATTCTCTCCTCTTTATAGAGGACTTGTATAATCTCGATTATACTGCAGGTAAGTACCCTTGCATAATCAACAATCATCTGGGTTAATTAACGCGTGCCTTGACTAAAGGCTAGACTGTTCCTGACATCTCTTGAGAAAATCTTCTGAGTGCAGACTATTTATAAGATAACAGCAATAATCACCTCCACTTTGAAAAATACCCACAGGTTTCTCAAATGTTCAAGACACATATCAAATCGAAGTTAAGTTCCTCTTCTCATTTTTCCTTTCAATATTCACTGGCTTACCCGATAAGTTATGAGGCCCATTGCAAAATAGCCTGATCTGGATGACCCCGATTTGTCCGATCCTTTCAGAAATACAATATTAAGTCGGCAGTTCTGCTGGTAGATTTCATTGTCCTTTACAAACCACCCAGTCCACGCGCCACAAAATGCTCTAATAGCAGAGAATTTTACAGCTATAAAATCGTGATTTGGTCCGGGCTTCGGATTGCGTTTGGTCCGGGCTTCGGATTGCACTAAATATGCGCCCATGGAACACAGTACAAAATTGGACAAAAAAGAGTGCCACCTGGTGACTCTCAGGAAGAAGTTGGGCTTCCGTTTTCACTGGAAATTGAAAATTATGACCAGAAGTTCAGTTCCGGTTCTTTTCAGAACCACACATACTCATAAAAAAAAAGATACCCTTGCATGGTGCTACTGTCAACTTAGGCCTACCTTCATCATAAAAAGCTTCAAAATTCAAAATAAGTTTTCAATTTGGTCAGGGTTAGCCATGCGATTTTTTTTCTTCGCCCTTCTCGAAGATACCTCAAAGTAACAGGCCTACTTAAATTGTTACTCTACAGGCTCAGCTCAGAATGTAGCCGCCCGCCTCTATCCAAATAGGCCTACATGTTGGAGGTCTTGTGAAGACCCCAAGTTCAATGCCACAAGGCCCAAATTCGTGATTTATAAAAATATCTCTATGATATATTATGGTAGCCTACATCTTACTGTAAAAGCCTGACTGAGCACAAAATTTTAATGAGCTCGTGCGCAGAAATCCAGTGATTTGGTCTTCCTCTTCTTTCGTGTCGATCATCTAAATGTACTCAAATTGCCTTCTCGTTTGCTGCCATCAGATCTTCACGGCTGCCTGAGCTGGACCTCAAGGGGGCACTCGAGAAGGTGCCGCATTGTCTGGGTGACGTGCCACAGTCGCAGCTGGCGTCTCTGTTGTAAAAATCCCCATTTGCTCCCCTTAGATTTGCCCTGCTTCGTCCCATTTCTGACTGAAGTCTGTTGAGTGACTTCCATGTCCTCTACCTCTCCACCCGTCCAGGAGGCAATGATATTCCTCTGTCGGGAGGGGCAGCTTCTCAAAGTGGCAATTTTCAGTATACACCTCTTCTCCTATAGCCTGCACCTGGTCTTTCAAAGGGTTCAGCAGAGCAAAGGAAGCTCTTCCTGGACTGAAGGCGTTTCGGGCTAGTTGGTGGTCAAAACACGGCGGTGGGTGTCTTCAGTCTGTCGCGGCCGTTCAGTGCGGCTGGCTACTGTATGATCTTCGTATGTCAGGTGGGGCAACACCGGCCATGCACTTACAGGCTGTCAACATTACTAGTGATGGTTCTGCAGCTGTCATTGAGAGCCGGGTCGATTTTCCATGATAGGGTGACCTTTCCCAGACTGGACAGGCGTATTCTGCGGCAGAGTGGACGCATTGGCACCCCAGGAGGAGTTCGCCAACTTTCTAAAAGTGCTGCTTGTATGAGAGAGCTTGATCAAGGGCGACACCAAGGTAGACTGGGTTGTTACAGTGCTCCAAGGGTATACCAGGCAGCTTCCTCCCAGCATTACGGGTCTTGAGATGGAACACGCTAACCTAGGTCTTGGTAAGGTTTGCCTTTAGTTGGTTGTATTTGTAATAAGATATTAGATTGCCTAGGGCTTACGATAGAGCGGCTGATATGCCATCAAAGGCAATGCTCTGGGCAGCGATACCAAGATCATCAGCATAGATAAAGCTTCATGTGCCTTGTGATATTGGTTGAACATTAACGTTGGATAGATATTGAAGAGTACAGGAGCGAGGACATTGCCCTGAGGTAGGCCATTCCTTTGTATTCTCCACCTGTTTTGTTTCCCATTGAGCTCAACCAAAAATAGCCTGTTCTCAAGGAGGAGATGAAAAAGCTTGGTCAGGTGATATAGTCATTTGTCATTTCATCTAGCTTCTTAAGAAGTAGCCAGTGGTTCACTGTGTCGTAGGCAGCTGTCAAATCCACGAAAAATGCATCTGTGGCGTGATTCTTCTCGAAACCGTCATCGAACTGTGTCAGATTGAGTTAGATTTAGCTAGTGCATGATTTTCCAGGAGGAAACCAGCTTGTTCAGGTATGAGATGCTGTTTAGAGACCAGGCCAAGCCTTATCAGGATAAGTCGTTCAAAGAGCTTGGAGAGGTGACTGAGTAGAGAGATTGGTCTGTAGCTTTTAGCCTCCTCTGGATCTCTCCCTGGCTTCAGGACGGATCAAGGTAACTCTTACATTCTAGTTATAGGAGATTACTTCACCAAATAGATGGAGGCTTTTCCGTTGCCTGACCAGACAGTAGAAACTGTGGCGATGACATTTGTATAAGTGGTCGTCTGCAGATTTGTGGTTCCGCGAGAATTGCATGCAGATCAGGGAAGAAATTGAATCGCAAGAAATGCAAGAGGTTTGTAAGTGGCTAGGAATCCGAACCCTTTCTAGTAATAACCGTTTGTCAGTTGCTTTTACAGGATAAAGGAGAAGCTAAGGAGGTTGCTAGAAGGGCACTCATGCCGGCCGGCTGAAGTCACATGAAGTTTGAAGGCGTCTTTCGTTTCGTGGTGCGTCGCGTGTACTTTGTGTTCACGCGTTTCACTTTCACGGACACAAAAATCGATTCCATTAATGTAACACGTGTGCCAGGAGCGATTTTGACGTAGCAGCTCCACATATTGTTGCCAGAAGGTGAGTCACTGGCAGGCAGCATAGGTCCCTCCTTGTGGTTAATACCTGTCGTTGACTTGAGGCGCCTTTCCGTTATGCGCGTCAACACTTGCACCAAGCGTTGCGTATCTGTCAAAATCACTCTCAAGGCGATTTCGACGGCCGAACGCAACGTACACGAGTGCTATATGAATGGAGTCGACTTTTGTGTCCGTGAGAGTGAAACGCATGAACGCATCGTGTACGCAACGCAACCAAAAACGTAAATGTGGAAAGGCGTCTTCAGGAGGAAATTAAAGGGCACAGGCCAAAGAAAAGAGATGAGGGCGGGAAAATGCAAGGACTGGGTAGGAAAGGTTATGAAAAACGGGCGCATCACAAGTCTTCGTTTCTGCTCTTTCATGGACTTCGTTTTAATTAGATAAATATCAATGCCAATTTGATGGATTGTAATAATTATTCATATTTGTCCGTCTCTCAAACTACAATGTAGAATTCCTACACACAGTTTCGTTTATTTTTCTGTTGTATGTACAGTGCAGATCGCTACTCTTCAGTAATGAACTAGATTATACAATGAATTCTATCGAGGAAAAAAACAAGTTTTCTTAACGTTTCTGCTTTTCGTTTGTACACAGAGAGTGTAAATATTGCCGGGTACGCACCAATTTAGCGTTGGTACACATTCATACACATTAATTGCACCAGCTACATCCGTAAAAACTACTCTAGAACGCAGAAAACACCAACAAAAAATTACAAAAACGTCGTTGACATTAATTTAGTTGTTTCTCAGCCGATATATTACATATTCATTTGCCGTATAAAAATGTTCCTCCTTTGTGACCTACTCAATCGCCCGACAATGTTTAAAAATATTTTGTTTTGTCGTTTTAAATAATTACAGTATATTTTTTCTCTCTCTCACTTTTGGCGGAGGTAAAACTGTGCGAATCTTTTATTGCTCTAAAGGTGAAATCAAACTGTAATACTCTACTAGAAGGATTCCTAAAAGATCCCTCAAAGGCTAGACTTGCACAGTCCTTCACTTACAAATGTACAAGTGACAACTTATTATTTTGTCATAGACAACGTATAGTGAATTCATTAGTAGTAATACTTCCAAGTGTCGATGCTCTGTGTGATAGCGCAGAGCACCTTTGTAGAAATAGAAACAAAATAAAAAATAAGGTAATAAGGGTTATTTGATGAATAATACAAGGAATTTGGACTTCTGTGATTTACTGAAAATGCTACAAAATGTTCTGTTCCGGGAATCTTTAGTTTCACACTTTCATGAGGTTAAAAAAAATAATAAAAAACACTGGTCGCAAAAGCAGAATTGACTGAACAAAATTTGCATCTGTTGTATCAAATATAGCCATTTAACGCACAGATGTCATGAATATGTAATATATACATTAATATGCACATATAAATAATGGTGTTACACATTCTGTACAATACAACTCACGGGGGGTAAAAACGAAATCGCTAAAATGACGCAGTCAATCGAGATCATAACCCTTATACAGATATTTCCACAACACCCCAATACTGCTGGGGTGTTCCACGTGAGAACTTCATCCCGAACAATCTTGTTAGTTTGCTCCTCAAATCCAATATACCCTGTGGTCAGCCAAATCGGTAGAGACCAGATCTTATCCCCCAAAACTGTGTGTCTCATGCACTTTTCGGATGTTTTTCCCTGCAACAATGCTAACATAATGCGATTGTTCCAGTTCTGTGTAATGTCTTCACCGACCTCACAACTGAAATTTATGCAATAGTTTTTTCTCCGTTAGTTTAAAAGCAAGACTTGTCCCGTTCAAATGGTTCGTGCTATTCTGTCGTAAAAACAAAGTCATCATTTAATTGGTACGGATTTCAGGTCTTTGTGTCAACAAACTGTGTTCGTTGGAAGAGATATGCATTCATTTTTATTTTTTTTACTGGGGAAGACACATAAAAAATGTACATTGTTATTGAGCTGTGAACTCATGAACAGTACAAGAGGTCACATGAATACTTAATATATTTAAAGAGGTCAGGCAAAGGTGTGTGGAAGTGAAACCAAAGAATTTATCGACCAATTGATCCAAGAAAAACAAAAATAATAAAATCATTTGCAAGCAATTTCGTGCTGCATCGTGATTACAATATACCCGTTTCCATTCACGGATTGGTTTCCCTTGATGACGAATCAATGTTGGATATGAGAAAATGCTTAAGTACAATCACACGCAAGTATTGATCTCTTTACAGTTGCGTCTGAAATTTAAAAAGATAAATAAAACATCCATCAAATCAAATTTAATTTGCTAAAATACGAGGAAGAAACGTGTCTGGCTTTCTTCAGAAATATAATCAAAGACGCAGTAGCTACATCCGACGTCGAAAGGCATTTCTTTTTTTACAAAGCACTGGTGGTTTATAAAGATTTCTCCCATGATATTTGATCTCTAGCCTTATGACCGATACCTCAAATTTGACCCAATTTTCAAACACTGCCGTGCATACATATCACCAGGGCCAGATCGTTTGATTTCCCAGCCTCCAACGCAAATGATCGATTGGGGCTAAACGACACTCAACAATTTCTCCTTAATTCAACTGGTACTCAACATCACACGGCCGTTTAGAACACGCTGCTTAATGTACTATGACCACTGGGCACCTGCATGTTTCAAGTTAAAATTTGGAAAAACGAAATATTCCTTGTAAACCACAGAATGAAATATTTCCTATTTAGTATCATTTATTTTTAGCCCTCCGAATAAAAAATACTACCAAGAAGTGATAAACGTCCAATCTAAAGCCAATACCATAGAACAAGTTCATATATGTACACAGCATCTACATCCAGGAAATCAAAGTCGCAAGAGCGACTTCTTTCCTTGTTGTCCAAAAATGATACAGAAGCCAATTATGTATTACTTTTGGCAAAACAATCGGCCTCAAACAGCTTCAGAAACTAGAAAGACCTTTTTTTAAAAAATTGATAAATAGTTTTGTTACAAAAGAAGGGAAAAACATGAAAGTCGCTTATGACAGTACACTTTTACAATCGAACGTCCTCTTTTGAAAACAGAAAAGAAAAATGTGACGACTTATCGACGCCCTTAATCAAAACCGCAATTTTGATGAAGAGAAATTTACTTAAACCATTTAGAAGTTAAAAAATCAATAATGACCCTGCATTTTATTACAATTTTTCTATGAGCAAACAAAAAAAAGGAAAAAAAAAATCATTACGAAATGATTAATTCAATCATAACATTAACAAATTCCCGATAATGTCATGATCCCCGACCCCCTGTAACAAATGCCAAAGCGGATATCAATACGCTTGATTCACACCAGTGCACCTCCAAGAGTTTGCAACGCGTTGACCAATCACAGTGCGCGAAATCTGTCGACCCTTTCCAAACGCGCATTGGGTCGACAGATTTTACGCACTGTGATTGGTCAACCCGTTGCACACTCCTGGGGGCGCACGATTGTGAAACGCTCGTATTTATGGACACTACCCGACGATGCACCTCATGCCTTCAGTGATACAACACACGGCATACCGTGACGTCAGCAACTTAAAGATCATTCTCCAAATATGGGCGTGGCCTTCACCTTAAGATTCACAGTTCCAAAAGTTTGATGTCAGTAATGAGGAAACCTTGACCTCAAAATGAACGCTCCTGGAGTAGTATGTGGGACGTACAATGAAGCTAATGATCTAAACGCCAGGAAAAAAGTTATGGACCTAGAACCTGAAACGGAACTCAAAACTGAGATAAAAAAACCTCTTGTCCACAGACCATCCTGTTTCCTTGGCTCTGTCCTAATTACTTGGCTATGGCTAGATATAATACATGCACCAGTGGAAGCCACTAGCTTACGGCTTCACGCAATGCTCAAACTCCCGCGCAATGTCAAACCCTGAGTGATTCAGACTCCGCCTATAGCTCATGACCTTTGACATTCTGATCCCAGTGCATTGATATGATTTGCTTGGCCAGTAGCCAGGACATATTATGGTGAATATTTCACAACCCAATGAACAAAACAAGGTTGCATGCAAACTGGGCGTTATATGAACATGTGTTGATTTTACGTCATACTTCCAATGCACTATGACCTAAGGCTGCAGCGGTGACCAGCAATGTGCATTGTTGTACTTGGCCTAGGGCCCTAATCATATTCAGCAGCCATCTTGGTCTCGCACCCAGATCACATACTGATGTTTTCATGATATGTACCTTATGTCTCCCTGCTTTCAACCAATCTTCCAAGACGGTCCTATTTGTGATATTTTGCCAGAGTATGCATTCAATATTTTCTATGCCGTTTTACAGATCATATGCTGTTACGACCATTCCTGGAAAAAGAGAAACTACACATCTACCATTAAATAAAAAATAAATAGAATCCATATTAAACTTAAAAAGATAGCTTTGGGGTTGAACTTTATAATACAACTAACAACTAAAAACAAAAAAAAAACACCAAAATCAAAAAACTGAAAGGGAAATGTACAATATATATAGATATATATATAGATATGTATATGCATAAAAAAGAAACTTGTTCTTTACTACAAATGGTACTCAGAATTACAACCAGTGGTTGGGCTTTCATACACACACACTCATGTATGGCATAAACACTGGATCACAAACTCTAAGAAACCCACAAGTCACTTGAATTCAGACATCAGTGATTTGTCAAAATTGGAGTCAAATGCTGCTAATGTTCATTTTACTTAAACAAAAATTGTGTAAGCTTTTCTTTTCATTTGGCATAAATAATAAAGCTTAAAATGTTCCACACGTGGCACAATTGGACTACTCGATTCCTCATGTCATAAAAAAAATCCACTCTCGTGGTCTCTCTTTGCATTTTTCAATGATACATCTCAAAATGTTGATGCACTGTGGTCAGTCCTTCCGCTACCGATTTAAAAAAATAAAAATAATTCGCATTGCTTGGACTAAAAATGTAATGCATTGACCTGGTGTTATGTGATGCAGCAAGCTTCCAGTAGTTTTGGCCGGAAAAAAGAATATGTTGGTGCACCAGTAATACGCAACGGTAAACATCAATACTTGTTGACAGGGACGCACATCAGTTCAGTCAATCCTGCTGAGAAAGAACGGTCGGTCTTAACACTGGGTGGGAGATGTGCCCCCAAGAGGGTTAGAGTACTAATGTGAAGAATGACCAACTTCTCTCCAGTTTGCTTTTTTTCTGTCATCCATTGCTAAGGCCCCATCTCACACGTTCTTACAGAGAAACTTGTTTGTCTGTGATTGTTTTTTTGATCTACAATCCCAAATTTTTATTCCGTTTTGAACCAACTGTTTATTTTCTGTGTTAACCTGCTACCAGCTGTATTCGTATGTCCCAGATGACACCGACAGAACTCAGGGCTGTCTTACTTTCTGAATACGGCCAATGGTAATTCTCAAAAAAAAAAAAAAAACAACCCCAAAAAACCCGAAACAGAAACAGCAGCTGTGATAAGAAACTTTCTCAGGCATGAAGCTCAGCTCATCCGATCAGGTGGTCAAGATAGGTTATGGAGACAGGTGATTCCACACTCAGATTTACTTGTAGGGCTACAAAACTTCAAGTCGTCCTTTTATCAAACTTTTAACTGAAAAAAAAAAATTTGTTTGGTACCATTTTACCCAGCACTTGTTCCCTAAACAACTCCTGGTCCTTGATTCACATATATAGAACTAAACACCATTGGTCCAAGAACTTAATTTATATTCAGTGGAGTGGTGGCATCATCAAAAGTCAAAACAAACACTGATGCATCAGTATCACAGCATTTAAAAAATAATACTTCACTAGGCATGAATGCCACATTTTTTAAAAACTGTTTAGAAGTAATTGCAAAGAATGAGTACTTTCCAGAAAATGATTTGGCATTTACAATTTAAAATGGAAAAAAATAATAATAATAATACAACGTTGTTATTGACGGCAGGCATTTTGCATTCTTTTTTCTCAACGACTTTCAAATGCAGCTTTCATCCATCCATTTTGTGGTGAAAAATGAGAGATCAGACTTCAGGGACTTAATATGCTGGCAAGTACATTGTCAGAATGAAACAATTAGAATTGCTAACAATGGGACGATTAAAATGAAAAGATGCAAAGTATTGATATGTCGTCGCGTGGCAGAGAACTTGCAGAGGACAAGAAGACTCTCTCTGGGAAAATCGTTCCGGTTTGACAACTCGGATCCAATTGTTGGGTTCCTATATTTCAAGGGACGGTTTGCTTCAAGTGCATGGAACAATCTCCATGCTGGGGGGGTATGTATTGATTCCCTGGTGATGCAGGCGGAACACTAGGCAGCCCTTGCCGGGAAGACATCCAAGGATGCATTGCCCCGGCAACTGTGGCTCTTTCCTCACTACACTGCAGGAGAAGCTTCGTGTGCGGCAATTCCAGTGGATTTGAAGCACGGGAACCGGTGCCCGTGTAGGGAATACTGCTAAGGTATGAGGTTGGCCCCCACCCCTGGAGAAAAAAAAGAGAAGGGAGGGTGTGTCCTCCAGGATAGCATGGGCGGTGTTTCTTTGGTGAAGGGGCTTTCCCCTTGAGACGGCAGACAGACAATGGGACTGAAATAACAGCGTGCTGTCAGCTGATTTCTTGCTCTTGCCTTTGTTGTTCGGTCATCCTGGAGTGGCTGACGCTGCTTCCTTTACATCGAAGAACAAGAACACACCAGAGCATGTTGTTAAACAGGAATCCTTGGGTGTGGCAAATCGACTGTGCCCCCCACAGACAGAAGTCATCCAAACTCTTTTTCTTCCTCGTCAAAGCATCCGGCAAAGTATCAGAAACGTTACGTTGGGAGCGATGCAAATGTTAGCACCTCCCTTCTAAGAGGTCATGTTGCCTCCAAACCCTCACCAGGCCAACTCCAGCCTGACCCAGCTGGGGGAGGAGGTCCCTCAGCTGATCCGTTGTGGCAGTCAATTTTTCTCCATATCCTCTTGTCACCAGAGCCGAGCATAACATATGTGTCCAGCACAACAACTACTTGTTCCTTCTCTCCATTGTTTTTATTTATTTAATTCTGTTCGTTCATAAATTATTTTCTAAAATGGGCCGGCAGTGGTCCCTATGTGTCAAAGAGTGAGAGAAGTTCGTCGCTTTCGTTGTTGCTCTGCGTGTTGTCTGATTGTCCGAGAATAGAGAGCAAGTCCACGTCTCCCATATTCTCTGGTAACAACTGTAAATCAAAGAACAAAAAGAAGGGAAAACAATTTTCAAACTGCTATAGATGGCTGACAGCTGTTTTCCTCAAGTGTTTATTTTGTAGACAGCTCAAGCAAATTTGATGGCAACTAAGAGCAAGAATAAAAGAACAGTGAGATAATATTGCTAGTACAGTCACACAATATGACGGAAACATAATGACAGAAGTCTTAAAAATAAGGAAGTGTTGGTTGTTACATTGAAACAATCATGCAATTTTTGTTGTCAGGAAGTGAGAAATTGGCAAGGACTTACATCCAGACCCTCCTGCCCCTCTGCCCCACCATCAATCACAGCGGCTGGGTCAAAGTTCAAATCAGAACCAGACTGGATATGGTTGTTTGTGTTCATGGCCATGCCTGATGTTGTGGTCTTTGGCTGCTGTGGCCCACTGTGGTTCATCATGGACGTGGGGGCCTGGGTGCCCGGATGAGGGGAGTGGTGGTTAGGCAGGTGGTGTGACCCCTGTGTGGTGGTGGTGGCTGGCGAATGTGTGGTGGAAGAGATGTGGTTGGGCATCCCACTGCTGCCACCGTTATTACTGCTGCTGCCATTGCTGCCTGCGCTGCTGCCATTGCCAGAGTTCATGGTACTCGGTGTGGGTGGCATAGCGCTGCCAGGTGTCAGTGGCATGCTGGGAGTCAGGGGCATCCCTGGGGTGTGCGGCATACCTGGCGTGTGGGGCATTCCAGGTGTGTGAGGCATCCCGGGCGTGTGGGGCATCCCGGGGGTGTGTGGCATGCCTGGGGTGGGTGGTTTGGTGTTCACGCTGGGATGCATTCCCACCCTCTGGTTCTGCTGCTGTTGTTGCTGCTGCTGCTGTTGTTGCTGCTGTTGTGGTGTCGACCCGTTGCCTGGCGTACCAGGCCCCGTGTGGTGGGATGACACATTCGGGTGGGGTCCGCCGTTAGGCTGGGGGCCCATCCCTGGGTGGGAATTGTTACCAGGGTGGGGATTACCACCAGGATGAGGGTTATTCCCCGGATGAGGGGGACCTGAAGGTCCTGGATGCCTCACGTTGGACGACGGGCCTTGATTTGAGCCTGGATGGCTTACCTAACAAGAAACAGAATCAAAAGATTGATTAGAGACATCGTATCTGCAAGTCATAGGCTACAAGTTGGAGTCCAAGCCAAACAAGCTCATACATTTTCTCACAAGCTCTCATACAGCACTTAGGATACAGCACTCATTGCTGAATCCACCCTACTTCTTTCTGACCAGCCTGTCATGAATGGGTTCTATTCGACCAAACAGAGCCAAGCGATCAGAGGGACAAACTCCAGGAGGAATCTGGGCTTACGTGAGGTGGCAGTGCATGGTTATATTGTTTCTCGACGGGCACCATGTCCGTCGTGGCAATGTTGTCCTCAAAGTGGCCCATCGAGGGCCCATTCATGCCTCCGCCCGGCATGACTGGACTGTTGAAGTTATTGTAGTTCCCGTAATTTGGTCCACCGTGGACTGGTCCCGGTCCTGGTCCTAAAAAGGGAAGGGGGAAATAGACAAATTTAAGCAATCTCTGGACACAATCTGCAAATGGAAGGAAAATATGACCCAACAAAGGAAAGCAATTTGAATTTTGAGGACAATCTGAATTTAAGTGGAAGTTTTGCCCTTCACTGATGCAATTTTGTGTACACTTTGTGCCTAGCGCCTTCCAAAAGTCAATGGGAGGAGAACTTCACAAACTGTAAGCTTGGGCAAAATTCCGACTTGTAAACTCTAATTCAATTGTGCAAATTACAAGGAAAAACCCACACATCAAAAGAACCCGTCTTGATGACTTTTTTGGCGAGTTTTAAACAATTTTTACCATCTTATCAATCATGCCAAGAAAACTTGTCGATTGTTTCTTCCTCCCCCCCAAGTTTTGACCCACTGGTAGTTTCTGCTTCCAACAACAGCCGGCTGACCAAAACGATGACTCACCGTTGAATTCTGGAGGGGGTGGGCCCCCCATTGGATAGGGGGAATGAGCCATACCCATGTTGTCATAAGTGTGCATACCAGGCATGGTCATGCTACCCGGCGACATGGCCTTGAACCGCTTGGACGACCCACAAGTATCTGACAGAAGCAAGAACATTGGTCGGTGTTTAGAACACAAAATTACCTCACTTGGCATCTCATTTTGGCATTATCTCAAGATCCTAAGTTATAGTCAGGAATGTTACACGTGCACATCCTATTCTGGGAAGAACAAGAGGACCCCAGCTCCAGAAATTTTCTGTAAATGTGTGGAGTTTGAATTTCAGCCTTTGCTATACACACAAGGAACCCCAATGTGGCAATCAGTTTACTGACAGAGATTTTTGGGCAAATCTATGTGAATCGCAACAACGCGGGAGGCCCCGCCATGTTGTCTTCCCCGGTACCTGGCTCCTCATCCTTGATGTCGCATTTCATGGGCACCGGCTTCCAGTTAGCCATGGCGTCGATGGTGACGTCTTCAAAGTCGGCCGACTGGACGGCAGTCAGAATACCCCACATGAACTGGTCTACTTCCAACCCTTCCAGCATGGCGGTTTTGCTGTGGGCAGATTCGATAATAAAATGTCCAAGACATTGGGAAACAAGGATCATTAAGGTGGAATTTTGATGTCTGTGACGGTTATTAAACTGGAATGCTGCTTCAGTTCACATGATTTACAACACAAAATAGAAACATGATGTCCTTTTTAAATACGTTTTGATGTAAGGACTTTTCAAAACACAGTTTTATCTCTGAACAATTTTGATGTAAGAGGGTGTAAGAGTAAAACTAGTTCTTGAAAGAGATCACTTTGAGATAACCGTAATTTGTAATATATTCATCACGTTGAAGGTATTCCCATATTGCATCACTTTTTGGCGAGGAGGGTCCACATACTTGAGGGAAAGGCATTTGTTTAGTAAAGATTTTTTTCTTTTGTTCTTCTCTCTTAAAGTCCATAGACTTTGTACACAGTTTTGTTTAAGTAAAGTACTTTGATCACTAGTTGCTGCAAGATTTTTACACCCAACAAACACGTCTCTTCCTCTTTTTTTTCTTTGTTTCCCCCGAGTCACTGCAGAGGGTTCGTGAGAGGAACCTCAACTCAGCTAACTCACTTGCAGACCGGACACCTCCACGACCCTCTCTCACAGTTGAGCTGCAAGTACGACTCTAAGTCAAAGCACTGGATGTGCTTGCACTCGTGGCCCCTGGCTGGCAGCGTGATGCGCTGGAAGGTGATGGGGCACTTGAGGGAGACCTTGATGGCCGTCTGCTCCACGCCGTCGTCATTGTTCAAGATGCCGCCGCTGGAGGCAGCCACGCTGGAGAAGTTCTTCTTGACTGTGGAAGAGGGCGATTACCATGAAAGTGTTAACACCGACTAAACATTCTTAAACATCACCGGGTAATGACCAAGGACCTAATTACAAGCGAGGACAATGAGAGAGGTCCTAAAATGACAAATGAGGACCTACTTTTGGTAATACAATGTTCAGCAGGGAGAAGTCTTTTCCTGAGCAGTCCCTGTAATACTGATCTCACAGTTGGTCTGTGGACGAGTTGCAAGACAAAGAGATGCGACTGCAAAAACAAACAAGAGAAAATGGTTGGCGTTCAATCTTGTACACAAGATGTAGTCTGTCCTACATTCACGTCATATTTGTAAAAAAAATAAACCAGTCAACAATCCGATGACTCTGTGCAAAGAAATTTAACTTCAATTCATGTCGTACCTTTCCACATAATTTCTTCAACAAATGTCTTTGGGAGGAGCTAGTTCGTGAAACCAATTTTGACATTTTATGCTTGCACTAGTTCTCCTGAATATTATCAGAGAGATGGTAGTAACTTTGAGCCATTTACTGAACAGTTCCTTTGAAAATCTGCCTTATTACAAGACAATCCGACAGTGATGATGACAGAAGCTTTTCGTGATTGAAGGCGACTTACACAGCAGCAGGCAGTCACTGTGATCTGTATCGTGTTCCGGCCAGGCTGGCAGACCTCTTTTAAGTACAGCGGCTTGTGCGAGGTCTTGTTGTCTCCCCGTTCTATCGTGAGGGGTGTGGCGTTGACGCTGACCTGCACGGAGGCGGGCCAGTTGGTGTGCATCTGTCGGTCTTCGTGGTGGTAGCATTTGAACTGGAGCTCGAGGTCCGATCTGAGGTGTGGGGGGGGGAGACAGAATAGGTCAGCTAAATACTTCATAGGGATTTGGTATACATGTTTTCTAAATGCAGGTTAATGGGGAAACTGTTCAGTTTGTCTTTATGAGTGCACTGTTAAAGATGTGAATGTTTGGATAAATATCCAGATTTTGGAACCATTTTCTGGCATCTAGGGAGTAGCAGAGAAGGAAGAGGAGAGAGGGGGGGAGAGATGTCACTGGACTTTAGTTTGTCAATGTCACTGACCTCCACATGAGCGTTTGGTGGACAGATTGTCGGAGGTGGAAGACGTGATTGCTAACTGCCAGGTTGTGTTCCAGCCTGAACGGCTCCAGGACCACACCGTCGCGGACGGGGAATGTCATGCGAATCTCGTCGCTGATACCGGGGGCGTAGTTGGGTGCTACAAGGCAAACAACAAACACAAAATAAACACACTGAATAGAAATTTATGAAACACTTCTAACTGTTCCATTTCAAACTTGGGTACTCTGATAATTTTTTTAGCAGATAGAAAAACGACTTGACCTTCAACTGAGAGATGACTCTCAGATACTAGGAGGCAGTGGGTAACGTTTGTGCAAATTTCTATTGTAGTGGCAAAATAAATTCGGAATATTGACTTTTGCATACACTGCAATGCTTATGGCTTATGGAAAGCAGGAAAGGTAAGGTAAGGACTTCTAAGATAGCTGGACGTTCGAGGGGCAAATGTACTGAGGTTTATGGCACACAATGTGAAGTTGAATTGGAACAAAAGGCATAAAACGTCAAGTTCAAGTTGAATCGGAACAAAGGAAACACAACAGGATTGATCATGTGAAAGCAACAAATAACAGTAAGGAAGAAAAGCTGGAATGAGACAAACACTCAGCCCCTCACTTGATTTCAGATCTGGAGGCCCCCCTGGGAAGGGTTTGACATCCCCAGTGGGGGACATGTAGGGTGGGATGTTGGGGCTCGGTGTCAATGGGGGTGTCGGGTTGCCGGGAATGCCCGGTGAATGCTGGTAGTTCATACCTCGGTTGGTCTGTGAGGGGGAAAAGATGACAGAAAATACAATGAGAAAGTTCTCCGCTACCCTTGGAATAATACTCGAATGCTACTGGTGGTGTGCGCTGATCGCTGTGCAAATGAAGTTGGGGCTGTTATTTCTAATTATGCTGCACAAGGCATACATTTTTTGGTTACTTCAAAAATATCCATTTTGTGTCAGCCCCCCCAGCTCTCACTTGGAGACATTACTAGTCAAAGCCTTTTACAAGAATATGTGCAACATGTGGACAGAGTATGATGCCTTTTGATTTCCAAAATAGTGGCTTGGCAGTCAGAACATGTCAAATAGTATCAAAGAATTTCATTTAAGCCTTTGTGTATGCATTAAGTAACCAAGTAAAGTGCAAAGAGCGAAGTTACAGGCATACAACGGTCATTAGATGAAGAAGAAGTTCCCAACGGGCCTGATGAATTGGACCCTGGTTCAAACCTTGTCCACGCCGTAAAGGTGAAACGTCTCGCCACTCACCATTGCCTGTTGGTTGTATGGTGGGTTGATCCCTTGCGGCCCGCCGTTGAAATTCCCCCTTGGAAAGAACTGGTGGTTGCCCTGGTAACTCATGCCGTTGCCAGGCACTTTCTGCCGCATGTTCATGTAGTTCGGGGAAGGCATGGGTTGTTGGGAAGGGTAGGGTGACTGCTGGCCGGGGTAGGGGGTTTGGCCCTTCATTGCCCCGGGGCTAGGGCTGTGGGGCATGGGGCCATATTGCTGGTTGGGAATGCCCTAAGCAGAAGGGGAAATGAAAAAAATTTAAATATAATTTGACCCTGACAGCCCCAAATCCTATGACTTCAATATGAGTTTACATATACACCCTTAGGGGGGTAGGGTTAAAATATATTTTCTGTCTTGTAAAATGAACGACAGAAACATTACAAGGACAATGTACAGACTTTTTGCAGTGCATGGATGTACATGTATGTATAAGCATGCAACTTTGTCTTTGGCTGGTTTTAAATTTGATGTTGAGGCACTTTTTGGTCAATGTTTGAATGACCTCGCTGGGGTTTGAGTTTAGAGGTAAATGAGACTGTTGGAATGTGCACAGAAAAAAAAAAATTTTTGATGCTTTTTGTTCCCATAATACATGTATGTACCAAAAGGAAATGAGCTGCCTTCACAGCAGGAATACCGAGTTGAGCACAGAAAAATGGGATTCAACTTAACAAAAGGAGTCATAAGTCAACATAGCACCTTTTGAGTCAAAACCTTTAAGAGATTTGCAAAGTTATTGAATTTTTTTTTCAGGCCATGCTAGGAAAGATCACTATTCGGTTTTAACACAGCCCGCCCGTGTGAACACTCACCTGGTTGAAGTTATTGGGCCCCGGGTGGCCTGGGTACGGCCTCTTCATGTACTGCTGGGCGTACTGCTGCTGCGCTGGGCTTCGCTGCATCATCTGCTGCTGGTACATGGCCTGTTTGTTGCTGCTACCCATGTTGTTCATGAAGGGCCCGCCCCCTTGGTTCATGCCGTACTGGTTGTTGAACCCCGGCTGCATTCTCATCTGGGTAACAGAGCCATAATTGGGCCAGAGTCAGAGAAGTTGAGGTCAACAAGGGGACTCTTGGCAAACAAGACTAGATCAACCATTTTCATTTCTTAGATTTCAGTATCAGATGCAGTATGACAAACTCTGTGGAATTTTTGTTGAGAACATTCCTAAATCCATCAAAATCCTTCGCAGTGCAGGAAGCCAATGGCACATCCTCTGATTTGACTTCACCTTTCAAGGACAATCAAGCCCTAAGCAAACTAGCAGCAGTCTAACTCTACCTTCCCAAGTCTAACAAAATCATATAAATCTCCTGATGGATTTTGAAGGATGTGGGAATGTTGGCACTAACCACAGGCCTGGAACAATCTTACTACAGCTTTATTAAAGCAAGTTTAGTTTCTCATTAAATTATGCTAAAGCTCAGATTTTCTGTGTGTTTTGTTGGATTTCAATTTCCAATTGTCTGGCCGACACGGCAATCTTACTTGTCCGTAGTCATTCATCGGTTGCTGTTGCTGCTGCTGCTGTTGCTGTTGTTGTTGCTGCTGTTGTTGTTGCTCTTTCAGAGCTGTCACTGTCGCCGTTGCGGTTGCTGTTGCTGTGGCAGCTGCTGCCGCGACGACGGCTGCTGCGGCCGCTGCTGCTGGTTGCGGGAACTCGTTGGGAACGGAGGTCTGGGGCGGACAGGGCCCGCCTGGTCCCATCTGACCTGGGGTCTGGCCTGGGTAACCACCACCACTGGGGAGACAAAACGTCGGACAGACGAAATAAGACTTTCTGATCCCAATGGACTCAAAACTGAAGGAAAAAAACAGGCAGACTTGGGTGTGGGAGATAAAAGCCTCATCAAACTTTCTTCACCCTGCTGGTTTGTATTAATAGTTGGGCACACAACTTCTGATTAAGGTGGGGGGGGAGGCAGTGAGTGGGTAAGGAAAGCGGAAAGGGGACGCTGGTCAGTAGCCTTACCCGTTGGGTCCTCTGTATGGGCCTGGCTCTCTACGATATGGGCCCATGCCAGGCATGGGCATATTGTACTGTTTGTTAGAGTTAGCCGCCGCTGCTGTGAACGGATGCTGCTGCTGGGAATACTGGTTGCTACCTGGGGAAGGGCCTGCAACGCAAACAAGAAAAAATATACGGAAACGATAAACAAAAAAAAAAGGCCAACGTGCAGTCAAAACCCTTCCTGCTATTCGCCATTAGCAAAAACTTTGGTCCCAAAACCTATAATAGTTGAAATAAAGTAAAAAACAAATTAAAAAAAAAAAACTCCCCTGAAATAACCGAACCAACCCCCTACATTCTTTGCTCCACCCACCCACCTGGTCCCTGCTGCATTGAGTTATTGGTGAGACTGTTGCTATCGCTAGTCTGCGTCACACCCCATACTGTTGTAACTACGCTGAGTGACTGTTGCGTTGGTTGTTGTCCGCCCTGTTGCCATGCCACTGAGGAATCACTAGGTGTGAAGAAGAAACAAGAATTCAGTGCAAATCGGTGCAACTGGTGGATGTGAACTGTGGACCACTCAATCTGAAAGCCGATGTTCAACCCAGACACATTCGCACATGGTTATATGGGAACTCTGCGAGTTGAGTCGTGGACACACAGAAGAAACACCAGTGCTATAAACGAAACCCTTAAAAAAAAAGGAAATCATTACCGCTATGGTCAAAAACAATATTTCCAGGGTTTCGGCCCATCAGAACTACCACACAGGAAACAAAAAACACATCTGTTCACTTCTTATTCTGAGAAACATTCTTTGAAACCGCTTTTCAACTCACTTGAACCTGAACAGCATAAATCTAACCAATGACCAACAAACTTAAAAATCCACAGCTCAAACATGGCGAAACCTTTGTTGAACCATTTGACTGGAGAACCAAGTCTGCAAGCTGACATGTTTGATTCAGTCTTAAGGACCACGGACCACTGAAAATAAAACCAAAACTTGGTCAGTGCGAACCCCAGACCAATGAAAGGCATGTTCAGGTGGACTCACCCTGGGGGCACAGATGGGATGCTCTTCTGCATTTGGTGATGCATCGGCGCTGCACCTTTGCTGGACGTGTCCCCGTTCCGATTCTTCTGGTGTCTCAGAAGGAGAAGACGTCCGAGATCTTCACACCACAAGGATAAAAGAGCTGCAGCGACAAAGAAGAGGGAAAAAAAAGAACACGAAGTGGTAACTGCCTTTGTCAAAATCTGTACAAAATTACAGTTGCGCGCCCTCAGGTGTTGTCATATTTGATACCATGTAGCTGGTCAACGCAGGTCAAGAAACACCACAGAAATGACTCCAAGTCAGCCAACTCATGGAAAGTGTGGGGCAAAAACAAAATACAACAAAACAAAGATTATTGTTCAGTAATTTTTGAAAACAGATGTTACTTGTCATGTTAGCAGGCCAGGTAACTTGAACAATTCCTACTGTTTTTTTTCTCAATAAAGTCTGACAAGGTTTAAGAAGGAATTTGTGAGGGTCATTTCAGTCCCTTGCTCACATTTGAAGGAAAAAAATTGGTTCACAGTTTGTGGGAAGAAAGAGAAAGCAATTCTTTGAAATTTCTGACACCCTGCTCGGTGTACACCATTGACAATGCATTTCCATTGAACCATTCTAGACTGAACCAGCCCCGTAAACCAACACCTCATAGGAAACTGCACCGTACCAGTTCATGACATGCTTCTAGACAATAACTCTGCAACTGTGTAAACTAGAAATGTTGCAGGTACTGTACATGTATGTATTATTGGGGGGGGAGGGAAGACGGAAGAGCACACCTGCACGCTACCAACGGTTCCAATAATGTACATTTTCTTGTGCACCGGGGTGTGAAAGTTTAATTGCAAACAAGACTGCACTGCAAACCTGCCCATCCATATCCACTGACAAATACTGCAATGGTCAAGGTTGTACCCGCATGTTTCTCCAGCATTTTTATTTCTTTTAATTAATTATTTAAAGAAATGACTTTGGCCAGTGTGAAGCTGAGCGAGTAATGCCACTCAACTGAGTCATAACAAACAGCCAGAAAACAAGGGTAATTTACATAAATGTGGGAATGAAGGTCAACCCGTTTGGGCATAATTTCCTAATGGTTAGGGAAAATACTGCTAATTTAGTAGAGGGGGCTTTGCAAACCTCGTAAATAATTTCAAGAGTTTTTAATTTTGCTTTGCAGTGATCACAAGCACCTGTAAAAGCTCTATGTATGGAATTTCAAGTCATTTTTATTGTCTTGCTGATTATCATCACAAAATTCTGGTGAACATTTTGTAAATTAGCATTTCATGAAAGATGTTCTAATTTGATCTTGACAAAAGATTCCAAAAACACGGAAGACTTCTAAACGTTAAGTGGATAAATTTTCAAATTTTTCCCAGAAGAGGAGAAAGAGCTTAATTGAAGAGATCGAAGTAGGAGGAATGTGTGCCACTGAAAATTCAGTCAAGATAGTAAAAAAAAATTATATTCACAGTTTGAATGATAACCCGCTGTCTGCTATTTATCAAGGTACGGTACTTGCTTGTTTATCACCATTTGTCAGAACCAATATGCTACTTGTATGCTTGCAATCTCCCTTTTTGAACCTGGTAAAAATAATCAGTGGGAAGTGTTCTGTTAGGGGGGGGAAAATCAAATTATCACCATCCACCCGACTGATGGATATGTTGAATTATGCCCCTTGGAGCTGACATGTTGCGTGAGCGCTACTCCTGCTGGTAAATTATTTGCAATCGTTGTTGGCCCCAGCGAGACTACACACACACGCGTGCGCATCCACACGGCCAAGTTGAGTTGGCCAGCGTGTGATTCACCCTGTTCATTATGCTAATTGTGGCGGGATTTCTCTGTCTTACCTTCCCTGTTTTTTTAAATGCTGGGTCCCTGATAACTTAGGCCCTGCCAGGCTCTCTGAGCGATTGTTGCTTAGGATCGAAAATGACATGTGTAAACGTAATATCCCTATCTATGACAGCCAATCCTACAGTATCTCTTTCACTCAATCCACTTTCTAATAACTACAAAATATGAGGACGATAAAATGACAATTGTATCTCAAACATGAGTGCTCATTTCGTCGTATATCTGACGAAACAGCAAATCAACCATTTTGGTGATTTTCAGATTTTATCTCCAGAACTGACGAATAGGTTTGACAGCTGTATTCAAACAAAGTATTGCTCATAGAACCATGACTACAAAGTAGGAAATGATTTCAAAGACCAATTTTGTATCGTATATACACAAGAGATCAAAAGAGGGTTGAATTAAATATCAAAAATGGGCACGCAATAACAGCTTAACTGAAAACATGTTTTTCTCGAAAACGGTGATATTTCATATTTGTTGGTTTGTCAGATATGCGACGATTTTTTTTCAAACTCCAAAACGCACCTGAGATCAAACCCTACATTTAAAAACACACACATATCAGCACATCAAGTGCAAGTGAGTACTTTCAATATTCACTTCCACGAGTTGCTTTCAGCATCATACAATACAAACCAAAGTATTAAATTTTAAATTGAAATTGAAAAATGTGCATATTACACAAACGTACACGTACTTCTCATGCATAAATTCCTACTGAATTAATAATTTCCGGCCCAGTGATAAAAATCAATGACTGTGAACGAATGATCAGCTCTCCATTATTTATTTTGCATGGAGGAAAGACCACACAAATGAGTATATTTTACTGACTAACTGAACTGCTGGGAATAGACTTAAAAGACCACAAAAAAAAAAACCAATGAGATTTGGAGGTCATATTTTATATTTATGCAGTGGCAGACAAGGGGATGGAAGTCCAGTAATTTGACAAACTCGCGCCGCATTTGTGGGGTTTGAGTTTCCAAGACGATTGTAGTGCATGCCGTCTGCGCGGGGGGGGGGGAGATAGGTGGTGATTGATAGTTTGGATCTGCATGAATCGCTTGCGCAAGCAACAACCATACAGCCCCGGCCCCGGGTCCGGCCATATTTTCTCAAAGTGGCTGGGCCCACTATGAGCTGATTTCTCAGCGTGCCTGAGTGTGTGTTATGATGTGTGCGTGCCAGTGAGCATCTGTAAAGAGGAGGGGGGGAAGGGAGCATTATGCCGGAGAATGTCTGTCAAACGGAAACCAGGACACAATAGACCGGGGCTGGGTTAGGATACTGTCCAGTGATAATTGCAAAATTAGGGACTGAAGTGGACCTTATCAATTATACATGCAAATTACGTGTTGGTAGTGTGAATCGATTTGGTTTTCCAAATTACTGGTAGCCTATTTTTTTTACACAAAGAAAGCTGAATATAGAGGGGCAAATAAAACACCATGGAAAGCCTTTCCTTACAGTGAATGCTTGAAAAGGAGAGACTAAAATTAGCACACTTTCATCTGAGTCTGTTTTAGAAATAAAATATCAGAAGCAAATTTCTGTTTTCCATAATGACAGAAAAAAAAAAAAGCGTTACACTCGGAGTGAGGCCTTACACTATGCAAAAACTCAATTCCTGAGAATGTACATTTTTGTTTGTTGAAAAGGTTCATTAATTTTTAAGACAGACAATCCATATTGCTCTGTAATAAAAATATCTTGGCAGCTAAAAGGTTATCGGCTGACAGACATGGAATTCTAATGCACTGCAGGACAGCAGATTATTATCTTGGGGTGCTTGAACGAACCATGGAAAGCGAGGAGGGCAGCAACGGGGAGAAAAAAAAATTAGGAGAAATTGTGTGTTGCGAGCTGTCCCAGAAACTGCTACTCCAAGTACATCTTCTTGCCAATGGGCCCTGGGGCATTGAGCCGAGCCACTCAAGAGCGCTGCGTTAACGGGCAGTGCGGGAACGACCTAACCGAGTGCAGCCCAACGAAATCACCAAATGTCATCGGGATTGTATGTCATGTAACTTCATTAGCTCCTGGGAGAGGAGCAATGGAACTCGAAGCCTCCCATGGCAAGTTCCATCTTCAAGAAAACCAAACGACTATCTCTTCCCCCTCTTTTTCGCCCCCCCCAACCACCAGCCTTCCGATCTTCTTCTTAAAAGGTTACAGGTCGGACTGATTTGATTTGTGCTAATTCGGGGAGGGACAGGCGGCAAGCACGTTGCATACAACGCCACGGGAGACGTATCATCTGACCGGTGAGCTTTTCAGCGATCTTGACGTAAGGTGTGAACTAAGCATGTAACTTGATGTTGTTTTTTTTTTTTTCATTTTTTAGGGGGGGTATACATCCATCAGAACAAACCCAAGTCCAGGCTTTTAAAATGTGGCCTTTTCTTTCGACTGCCTTTTTGCAATGTAAGTAATTTATCAGAATGTATTACAGCCCCCATGTGCTGTATTTTTGAAATTGAATTATAAACAGATTGGGAATTGTAAAATGAGCCTCCAGAGAATTTGTCCGACTCTCCCTCGATGCTTTCTGAGAGCTGTAAGCAACCGGTCTGTGACTGGGTGACGGGTCTGTCCATGTGAAATGGGGGCCCCAGAAAAAAACAGAAGCTTGATAAATTACGTGCAGGGCTTTTTTGCCATTTACGACAAATTCTGCCTTCTGCACGGGGCTGAGCATGAGAAAACTGCCACAATAAAAATATGGCGCTTTTTGGAGATAGGTTGGTTGGAAAATAAGCCAGGAACGAATAAGTGAACTCACAAATTGACTACTGCTCTAAAGGGGCAGCTGTATTTTATTCTTGTTAGCAAAGTCTCATTTCAATTTAATCAAGACAGACCCATTCCAGTAGTACATATCCCCCCCGGAGAACAAATGACACGGCTGCAGAAAATATCAAAAAGGTAATTCTTTAGTTGAACCTCAGCCATCTTTGAATATCCTGTGAAAAAGAATAAACCGTCCAAATTCACAAACATAATGGGCAACACGAAACACTGGTTATTTCAGATTACAAAGACGAAATCAACGGCCATTACATCAGCCGTTCATGCCAGTCTCCTGCCTGAACAAACAAGAGGCCCTCATGATGTCTGTTTTCTTTCGAAGGGGAGGGCAAGAAAAGATACATGGATTTCTGAAAAAGAGCAAAAGAGACAAGGGGGGGGTGCCTAAACAGCACAGCCAGCAAACATTGAGAGTGAGTTAGAAATTACTCCGTTCAGAAGCCATTATGTGGTGGC